CAGAATAAATTTCATCTTTTTGGAAATGGAATATGTTCATGACAATCATAATAGTTCAAGGTTTTTGAAACTATACCTCTCCAGGTTTCTTTTGGCATCGTTTTAGGCATTGGTTTGTTGTGCATTATTTCTTTGCTACTTTGCTTTTATTTATGAATTTCCAAGCCAAGATTCTACAGCTCACAGTTGATTTGAATGATTAGGGGTCCAATGAAAAAGGCCACTTTGTACTTGTTACAAATCTTGTCCCATGTTCTGGGATTAGATTACATCTTTGGCCTGAGAAAAGAAAATCAGCATCAGACTTGCCTGTTGGTAAAAGGGTTCTAGAAGTGACACAAAAAATGGTGCACATTCCATCAGGACCAGCACCAAGGCAGGTACAAAATGTTGTACTTATGATATCCAATCCACTCTATGGGAGTGCTTAATTCTTGTGTAGGTTAGCTTCATGTTGTTTGTGTCAGCTCCAGTGGAAGTGATTATTAATGTAAAATAACATGAATTTACACTAATTAAAAAAGACAAATAAGAGAAATTTGCACTTATTTGTGAAGTTGTGAATTTGAATTGCTATCTGAGTGTGGTTAGAGTAGCAGATTTTAGTAAGTTGGTTTGTTTGACATGCTATTATAGCTGATTTTTTTGTTTTTGTTTTCTAGATTGAACCAGGTAGTCAGACTGAGCAAGCTCCTCCATCAACTGTATTTTTGTTGGCTCCTGGGGATATGCATGGTTTCAGATTCTTGACCATCTCAGTTGCACCTAGTCCGGTATTGTTTCTTTAATTTCGTTTGTTGTCTCACATGTGTTCTCCATTTCATAGTATCACAAGTATATATGCATCAGAAGGTTTTGTGAAACCTTTTGGCTGCTTGTGTTTGTTTATATCAGAAAACTTCTGGCATAAATTCACCGTAGTTAATTTTCCAAAGCAATCTCAGAAATCAGAGCAATGCATATTATTTGAAAAACATTGTTTGTAGCATGACTTTCTCTTTAATATTGCTAATGCAATTGCCATTGGAAAAACATGAGATCTTTAGAGCCACTTTACTAAAGACTGGATATGCACTGATGTTTTTATTTCTAATTTTTCTTTTCCCCCTTTTGTTTTATGTTTGAATATCTTGTTTATTGTGCCCTTTCTTCTGTTTGAATGTCTTTTTGGAGTGTTGCGTAAAAATCAAAGCATTGATGCTATTTGCATTAGCCTCGCCTGGAGTCCAGCCTCAATAAAGCCTTTTAAATACACAAGTTTTGCTTTGAGTGGCTGTGTTGTTGTTGTTTCTTTTTCTCTTTCTTTTCTTTTTTTCCCTGTTGCTAAATGAATTTCTATTTTCTAGTATGATAATATTCTCATTATGCCAAAATCTTTGTTTGTTTTGAGGAGTCTCTCATTTTCTCATCCTGAATGCATGTTATATTGTGATACTCTATTGATCATACAGATTTTATATCCTATGTATCTGCGGTATCTTTTGAATGTTACTTCTGCTCTTGTTGAATGTGATGAGCATCTCTCAGTTACTTTTGAAAGAGGTTTAAGTTGAGAATGTATGTATTATAACTTTCGGGCACTCAGATTGTTTCAGGAAGGCCTCCACCTGCTGCTTCCATGGCAGTTGGACAATTCTTTATTCCAAAAGATGGGGAATTAGAGTTGTTTCCTCAGTTGTTGCTTCTCTCAACTTATTCTCCGAAGGTCAGGGAAATTATTTTGTCACTAATTTTGGAGAGAAAATTTTGACATATTGGGCGGTAATGAAAAAAAATAGACTACTAACTCACCCCTCTTTTTTTTGTTTATCAGTTTTCCTCTCCACTCTTTCTCTTTCTCTTTCTCTTTCTCTTTCTCTCTCTCTCTCTCTCTCTCTCTCAAAACTAAATACAAGTTAATTAGCTCTCTAAGTAACCTATGGTGACGAAAAAGTAATGAAGAAAATAAATTTCGTCACTAAAGAAGAATAATCCATTATGAATTATAAAATTTTATCATATATAATAAAAAAAGTAAAAATAATAGGTGACAAAATTTATTTTCGTTAATAAATATTTCTTTTTAGGTGAGGAAAAATTAAATTGCATCACCAAAAGTTTTCCCTTTAATCTTTTTGGGTGACGCCAAAATTTTGAGACTTTTGATGAGAAAAAAATTTGTCACTAATTATTAAATTATTAGTGATGAATCTATTTTCATCACCAATAATTTTAAATATTTTTTTAAAAAAATTGATTTTAAATATTTTAAAACTATTTGATGAAAAATATATTTTCATTTTTGGTGAGAAAATTATTTTATCACTAATTTTGGAGAGAGAACTTTGTAATATTGGCGGTAATGAAAAAAAAAAAAAAACCTACTAATTTACCCCCTCCCTTTTTTTTTGGTGAGGTGCTTCAGTTTTCCTCTCACCCCTCTCATGCAAAACACACGTTCTCTACCTTCAGCCCCCCCTTTCCTCCTTTAGCTTGTTCTCCTCCTTCAGTGCTGCACTGACGTTACCCGTTCTCCTCCTTCAGTGCTACCACCGACATTACCCTTTTTTTTTTTTGTCTTTTATGACTATTTAATTTGTTTTATAAAAAAATTAAATATTTACACTATACCTAACTAAACAAAAATTTAAATTTGAAAATATATATAGGAGTATATAATTCACTCCACCATTGAAAAATAAAAATCACTTGAGATTATTGTTTGAAAAAAAAAATTGCTTAAAAATTATTATTTTTTGGATCATCAGGCCACTCGGTCTCTCTCTCTCTCTCTCCATCCTTTTCATTCTCTCATCTCTCTCTCATTTTTGCTCTCCCAATCCAGAAGCTTCTCATCACCGACCTCCTCAGTCTCTCTCATCAACGATTGTGAGAGTCTCTCTCTCTCTCTCTCTCTCTCCATTGTTCTCTTCGATGAACAAGGGACTATCAGCGAGGGTCTCTTCTCGTTGTTGATTGGTCTCTCACAGTCGACATCCTACCCCCCGCTTTCTCTCCATCTCTTTCATCTCTCTTCGGTGAACATCAGTTGACGAGGATCTAACATCTCAAACCCTTCTTCGGTAAACATCAGTCGACGGGATCGAGGATCACAAACCTTTCTCGCAGATTATAGCCCTATTCGTAGATCGCATATCACATATCACATATCACAAGACCAAATTCGTAGGCATATTGAAATATAGGTATTTCTTGTTTAAAATTTACTTTAGATTTTGGAATCTTTGCTTGAGATTGCTTGACATTGTTGTTGTTTGGTTGAGATTTGTAGAAATTTGTTTGAGATTACCAATAAGTTTTTTGAAATTGATTGTTGCTGTTGTTTTTGGTGAATTTTTTTCGCATCTTATTGGAACTAAACCATTGAATTTAAGTATTTGATGGGTAAACTTTAAAGCTCTATATCCTAAACTTTACTGAAAATAAGAGTTGAGCTTGTTATACTTTTGCTGTGATGATTGGAACTTTTTAACTGGCTCTTTTGGAATCCTTGTGGACTTTTTCAGTGTTCAATACTCTCATTTGTAAAAAAAGAAAAATTACACATGCACTCATGCACTTCATTTTGGTTCAATGAACTTGTTTGGGAGCTTAATGTCAAATGTCTGGTACCATTTTTACTATATTCACAACTAATTTAGAAAACACCTCTTTAATCTTCCTATTTGTCAAAACAATGATTTGTCAGTTATCCATGGAGTTTATGTAGTTTTTCATAATCATGCTAACAAGGTGGATGGTATTTCTCTTAGAAAATCTCATCATTGACAACTCCATAATGGCTACACATTGCCAAATGCTACTTTTACTATCACATTATCTATGAATTTATATCATTCATTCAGTGTGATCAATGATACACATAACAGCACATAATTAATCATTTGATAGTTAAGAGAAAAGTTAACCTTTTTGTAAAACAATAGTTAAAATAAAAAAATCACTCTTTCAGTATGAGTTATTTCAGAAATATGAATTTTTCTATTTAGGCCCATTCCTTAGCCAAAACACACCAAGGTGATCAGTTGTGATCGGCTGTAGGTTTGTGGGTCCCACACCTGTAGCCAATCACAACCGGCCACCAACTTGGCCGGTTTCAGTCCAGGGTGGGGCTTGATCATCATTTACCTCCAAATATTGCATATCAATTGTTGATCTAATAGAACACAAATAGAAGAAACAGGAAGAATTAAATAAAATATGTATGATGACATATAAGAAATACATAAAGTCATACATTTTGTGCATGTTTACCACATGCAATGTCCTGCATGTTTTAAAAATTGGCGCTTTAGCTTGTAATGTGTCATGTCGTGTGTATGTGTCCATGTTTCTTAGGTTCAAAACTAAATTATCTAAGGTTATCAGCTCAATTTAAATTAAACCCTACTAGACTAGCGTTAGATAAAAACCCACTAAATGACGCAAATGCAATACATCTTACATTCTCCACAAAGTCTGTCTGTGTTTTCTAATTATAGTTTCAGTTTTCAACTTCAATTTTCTCCAAACTCAACTATAAAAAAGAACTATAGACTCAATAATTTGAAACAAAAATTTCTTGCTAATTGTTTTGGGTGTCACCAAAATTTTGGCATTTTTGGTAAGAAAAAAATTTATCACTAATTATAAAATTATTTGTGAGAAATATATTTTTTTCACCAAATATTTTAATATTTTTGAGATCTTTTAGTGAGAAAATAATGTTGTCACTAATTTTTTGTGGGAAAATTTTGATGCGTGAAGCTGTTTGTTTTCTACTCCTCCTTCCTTTTAAATATTGGGAACTACAAAGTCTAAAGAAGATAACAATTTAAGTTGTGATACTTGCAGGATCTCAAGGGCATACACTGTCTGCTTGTCCCAGTAATGTTCGTTGGACTGATGATGGCCTTGAAAGGGACCTATATATTCCGACATCTACTGTCGCTGTTTAGCGATGGATGGTAGAAGACAGTGGTTAGACATTGAGAAACTGGTGAGCTTGGTCAAAGTTGTTCTTTTTTGTGTTTAATTACAAGAACTCAAATTCTACTTATTTTTTAAATCTTTTTCTGTGGTTAGATGTTTTCAGGCTATTTTTAAGAGGCTTCTTTAATTCATATTCCTGTTCTTTTGATGGCTCAAGCTTTCGGCAAAGTTTGAGACAAAACGGTGTGGATTTAACGTGCTCACAGTTGAATTACATGCTACAAGATTTGAACTATAGCTTCATCAAGGATAAATTTCATCTTTTTGAGAAATGGAATATGTTCATGACAATTCATGAATAGTTCAAGGTTTTTGAAAACTATATCCTCTCCAGGTTTCTTTGTGGCAACCGTTTTTAGGGCGTTGGTTTGTTGTGGCTATTTATTTCTTTGCTACTTTGCTTTTATTTTATGAATTGTGCTAAAGCCTAAGATTCTCTACAAAGCTCATAGTTGATTTGAAAATGGATTAGGGGTCCAATTGAAAAAGGCTCACTTTGTAACTTGCTACAAATCTTGTCCCATGTTCCTGGATTAGGATTACAATCTTTGGCTGAGAAAGAAATCAAGCATCAGACTTGCCTGTTGGTAAAAGGGGTTCTAAGAAAGTGACACAAAAAAATGGTGCAGCATTCCATCAGGACAGCACCAAAGGGCAGGTACAAAATGTTGTAGGCTTATGATATCCAACCCACTCTATGTGAGTGCTGGTAATTTTTTTTGTGTTAGGTTAGTTTCATGTTGTTTTGTGTCAAAGCCGTGCGTAGGATGACTTAAGCGTATCCGTGTCTGGTGGAGATGAGATTTGGAGATGGATAGCATCGTAGCTCATAATAACAATGAATTTTAGTCACTGACCACTTACTTATGAGAGATGTATATATAATATATATGAGTTAGATAAGTCAGTGTGTCGGAGCTTATTTGGGTGTGCACGCTCGCTGCATTCTGAAGTCATAGCTACTCGCTCTGCAGAGAGCGGCGTGAGTTTTGTGATAGGGATGCTAAGAGGCAGAGTATACAGTGTGATGAATGGCGTTCTCCGACATGCTATTGTAGCTGAATTTTTTTTTGTTTTTGTTGTGTTTCTAAAGATTGAACAGGGTAGTCAGACTGAGCAAGCTCCTCCATCAAATGTATTTTTGTTGGCTTCCTGGGCGGATATGCGATGGTTTCAGATTCTTCACATCGAGTTGCACCTAGTCCGGTATCGTTTCCTTTAATTTCGTTTGTTGTCTCACATGTGTTTCTTCCATCTTGTTCATAGTATCACAAGTAATATATGCAATCAGAAGTTTTGTGAAC